TAGATGAGATCATAGATTTATGTGATGAGGACCCACAGGATGAATGTTTCAGTCAGAGAATGACTATTTGCAGTGCATCCCAGACCTGCTCCAGTAAGGCTGTTACTGTGGATGATGATGAGGATTCTAATGTTATATTTGTTTCATACATCCCACCCAAATCAAGTGCTCAAACAGATGATGAGGAAAGGGAAAAGGAAACTGTGCCGGATAGTACAATGGAGGAAGAAATGGAAGCAAAACTGGGTGAGGAAGTGGATAGTAGACAGAAAGAAAAAATGGGGAATGGACAGGAAATGGAAAACCAGGAAGAGGAATTAGGAAGTAAACAAGAAAAGGAAGTGGGAAGTGGACAGGAAACAGAAATGAGACATAGGCAGGAAGAGGAAATGTTAAGTTGCCAGAAGGATGAAATGGTTCTGGAAAACACAACCTGTCAGCTGGATATAACCAATCAGGAAAAAGACATTACTGAAGAAATGGGAAGCATTCAATGTAAAGAGCCAGATAAAGAAGATGCATTTCAACAAGTAGAAGCTGTATGTATTATGTATATCATTTATTGTGGGTGTGTATGTGTAGGATTTACCATCAGAAATTATATATATATATATATAATTAGAAATGTAATTTTTGAAACGGTGTAGCTCATTAGCCAAATAAATTGTATAAGTTTTTCTTTAAGCTTGAGAATGCCTATAGGATTACTGTATGATTACAAATGTCTTAAGACTAGTTTTAGAAATCCCCAGGGAACCTTAAACCACAATGCATTTGTACATATATGTAAAACATTGCAATTGTCACAAATGTGTAGATATTGTCAGAAATGTGCTTTTTGGGCTAGGAACACTGGCTAGTTCGAACTGTCTCATTTTGCTTTGAGCCAGGAATATAAGCACAACTATTATTTTTTCAATCATCATTGTAGTCTTTTTACAGAAACCAAAACTGAATATTATTTACATAACCATTGCTTATAGTTTAAGAGTATGCTTTGTGTGATTGGGTTTGCAGAGTCCCACAATACCGGAAAAGGAAAACCGGCAGGAGAGTGACAGGCTGCTGAAAAGAAGATTTGGGATCAGAGCAGAAGTGCAGATCCATTTACAAAGGGTCCCTTCTCCAGAGTCAAAGGCTACTCCAAAGAAGGTCCCTCAAATTGGCTCAATTAACAAACGTACTTTAGATGGTATCCGCAAACTAATTCAGAGTTCACGGATTGAGATGAAAACAAAAAAGCTTATTGAAACACAGGTAAAAATGGTCTGAAATATCTGCAAAAATATAAGTGTTATCTGAAATCTTACCAAAAAGAGGGAATGTGTGTAAATACCACAGTCATTCAGATGGCCCAGATTCACTTCAGTACTTTGTCCCAGATGCTAGAATGCATATCTTGGAGGAAGGGCAACTTGCTTACAACAATGCGCCAGAAAGCACTGAAGCAGCTATTCTTATAACTTGTATATTTGCTATGAAGATTATACCGTTGGGACAGGCAATGTCATTACTTTATGGATAGTATCAGGGCTGGTCAAACCATTTGCATGTTGCATATTTGGAAATTGCTGAGCAGTTATTTGTGGCATACAAACTAGCTTTCCATTGAAAAGTAATGATTGTTATGCTCTAAATCCAAGAGAAAAAGGTGAGAATTTAAAGTGTTTATATGCCAATGATCTGTATGGCTTCCATTAAAAGTAATAAATGTCATAGCAAATGGTGGCCCTGCATTGAAGAAAACATTAAGCATTTTAATTTTTTGGACAAGGTTTTAAAAATATTGAAAATTTAATCTGCTGCTGTCCTGTCCAGGGGTTTCCCAGCTTTTTACCCTGTGTTGCACAGGATAATCTTTAAGGTGCCTCACAACTCTGTACTAGATGGATGGATGGATGAATTAATGTATATGTTTATGTACAAGCTGGCAGTGCATACATACTGCAATAGTACATCATATACATTTTTGTTTTTTCCAAACGGGGAAACCATGGATTAGGAACTGGTTTGCTGTTGCCACAACACTTTTCTGGTTAGTGCAGTAACTCAAAAAGTACTCGACATCTATTTAAAACCTTGCAAGTGCATTCTATGGATGATTGCAAGGAGTGATTGCAAGGAGAAGGGCAGTCACAGACACTCGATCTTCTTAGTGCGATAACTCAAGAAGTATTTAATGGATAATATTACCACTTCACCAAAACATTATATGGATAAAGATCCCCTGATTTCATTTTGAGACAAAATGTAAGTAGTGCTCGGTGGCAGCAAAGGTAAGGACAGCTGCAGAAAACACTTGATCCTTTGAACATAACAACACAAAGTATTGAAACCATCTTTTTAAAACTTCCCAGGAACATTAAGTAAATAATGTTCTGGGATTAACTGGCATTGCTTCATTTTTGATGCAATTTATCTCAAAATTAAATAGGTCCCAGAAGATCATTACACAATTTCCTGGGAATGCATTGTTTTCATCCTGGCAGCATCTAGTTATCTGCATTGATGGGAATATGTATTCACTGTAGTCTCCCTCATTAGCTAAACTGTCAAAAAGGCAGTTAAAATTGGGCAGCATCAGCACATTCCTTGGGAAGGTTACTGAAGAGGATGGAATTCTGCCTTTTTCTAGATAGCCTATACAATATTCTCTATTTTATTGTTTTTACCAAGGGGCAGTTTATATCCATATCAGTTTGGAACTGTACTTAAAATGTCACAGTAGTTGATACAGGCCAAAACCACCGTGCATTTATAGTCAGACACAACCTCTGATTAGGCATCGAGATTTAAATCTGTTTGCTTTACTTTTATAAATTACTCAATGGTCCAATGTGACACATTATGGATTCATGTATTTTATAGGTCCCAGCTCCAAAAAGAAAAAATGAAAGCAACGGTAATGGTGCGAAGAAGAAGAAAGGGGATCATCATGAAAACAAAGCTGAGAACAGTGGGAAGCCACCAAGTGAGCAATGTGGAGAAATGGAGCTTTCGTCAGCAATAGGAACAAATGGGGAAGAGGTGGAGACACCATGTGATCAACTTACTATTCCTGCAGAAAAGACGTCAGCTTCCATCTTAGGTAGCCCAGTTCCCATGGAAGTGCCAGAGCAGAGACTCAACGCAGTGAGCAGTTCAACAGAAGAATCCAAAATAACTGCTGTACTGAGCAGCTGCCCTCAAGTGGAACCTGGAACTGGGTCATCTGATGCCATCTCCTTACCCAAGTCAAGGAAAGGAAAAGGAAAACAATCTAAAATGTTGCAAGCTAGTGCAACCATCAAGCCATCAGCACCAGAGTGCATGGAAATATGCAATTCAGCTGCTGCAGAAATGCAGTGTGGTTCGTCGCAGCCTGGGGGAACCAAAGCATCCAAGGCCATGGCTGCCGTGGTGTGGCCTGAACCATCTCCACAGAATACGGTATCTGCTGTGGCAAGCGAGGGTGAAAAAGAGCCAGCATCTATAGAGATACACTGCCCATCAGAATCAAGCGGCAGCCTCGGAGGAGAGCTTACAGGGGGTGATGTTTTCTGTGCAACACCCATGGACCCGGAGGAGATAAAAAGACATGAAAAAATCAAACGGCTTAAAGAGCTTCTGAAGGAAAAGGAAGCTGCACTCGAATTGATCCGAAATAAGATAATATGAATATTAGTCTGCTTTTTGTTGTTTTAACATTTATTTAAATCTGTACATAATTTATATATTTAACTAATTTCAGACCTTTGCTACAGTTTGTTGTTTAAAAATATCCTATTGAGTTTCCTTTTTCAAATGTGCTGCACCATAAATTTGGGAGAGAAAAAAAACGTGCAAACATCTAGGCATTTACAGTAATGGGTCAGGTTGTATTGGGTCAGGTTGCTCTTTGGTAAGATCTGTTAAGTTCCACTGAGCTCATATATAAGGTACTTTGATGTTCCTGTGGTTGTAATAGTTCATAAAGTGTATTTTATTTGTACATGTAACATGCAAATAAAATAATTTTCATTTGTTTGCATGTTGAGCATTTTTTCTTTAAAGTTGGAAAGTAGTTAATTAGTTCTGCGAAAAGTGGTACATTATGCAGTTCAGCCACTAGGTGATGAAAACAAGCAAGAAATAACACAATATGCCCAAATTTCAGTTGATTTTTGAATAGCACATTCAACACAAATACACTTATTTGAGATATAAAGGGCAACTCTCACAATACAGTGGTACCTCAGTTCTCGAACTCACTAGAACTCGCATTTCTTGAAAGTCGAACAAACCAGTTTGACCTAGAACTCGATCTGAATATCAGAAGTCGAACCGTGAACGCCGACCTAATATAAATTGTAGGCGCCAGAGGATGAGTCATACTACAATGCAATTCTTACTTGAATGCCTTCTTCACAGACTGCATGGACGATTAACCAAATAAAGCAGCGCAACATTACAGTAACTAACAATAAATAAACCACTAACTTACGTGTACTATTAGACTTCATTTTACCAGGTAAATTAACTGAAAACCAGTTCTCACTCCTTTACGTGACATTCAGGAGAAATAGCAGATTATGCATCGAAACTGCCTGGGATACAAACGTCATGCGTGTAACTAAACTCTTCAGCCAATAAGGGCAAAAGTGTGTCGTCACGGAGGCAGTTCCAGTTTGTGCAGCCGGGTGAGAGGTCGTAATGCATCTAACCGTAATGCATTGCGTCAGGATCAGAATGCGTTGCTTTGGATTACAGCCAGCGCTGTAAGCAAGTCGAAGGCACCCAATGACCGGACTGGGGAAACAAACTGAAACGCGGACTAAATACAGAGGACTAATGACAACAACCAGAAACAGCTGTTCACATGGGGATCCCACACGAGGTTAACGAGGGGGCGTGGCAAACGGAAGGAGCGGATGATCGAGGCAGGACAGGGATAATGTTGGGATAATATCTTTATGGTTTTGGAAGACATTAAGAAAAAAATGCTCTTCTTGTTTTATCCTGTTCATTTTGTGTTTAAATGCTAAAAAAAAATATTTAGGTGTAATTTTGGGGGGGCCGGGAACCAATTAATTGGTTTTCCATTATTTCTTATGGGAAAAATTCGATCAGAACTCGAACTTTTTAGTATTCCATCCGGAGTCCGGAACGGATTAAGTTCGAGAACCGAGGTACCACTGTATTCAGAAAAGCAGAAAGGTCTCATCCATTGTGCAGATGTAGTTTTAGAAGTAGAGACATAACTGGCAAGACATTAAACAATCAGTATAGCAGTTAATGTAAAATACACCTTATGCTCAAAAGTCCCAAACCACCCAATAGATTATTGTAATTAAATATTACATGCAGCTGCATCTCTACACTTCCTGTTCTATTCGTCTGTGTACATAATCTGCGATGACAAGGCGTGCCGTACCCTCCTTTGCGCCCTGCGTTTTCTGTTGCTCCTACCTTGTTTAGGAAAAGTGGTTGAAAGATGGATGGATGGGAAAAACCAGTCTACTTTGTGTAATCCTGTAGAACTATTTCAACCATAAGTTAGAGTTATAGAACCATCATTGTTGGATATTATTTAAAATTATAGTCCTGTGTAGTGCACATAGAAAATCTACACATTCTTTATTTTTTTTGGACCAAAAACCCAAAATGAAGAGAAATAAAATGATTTTCTTCTACTTTTATTTATGCATGGGCTAATGCACGACAAATTGTGCATTATACGTTATTAAACACTCCACGTCGGGTAGTTCCTTGCCTACACAGATTTATAAACTATAATGCATAACTTAACCTACTTATACCACGGTCACCACATATTTGGCTAACACGTTCGTACTTAAAGACATTATTTTAATGATAAAGAACCAAGAACTACTTTCTTTTGCCGCTGATTAAACGTTTCCGTTAAGTTTCCGTTATTTTTAAATTGTGTTGTACATGTGAAAATTTATGTAACATTACTTATAAAGATTATAATGGCGCATTACTGTGATTCACCTGAATAGCACAGAGCATGTGAGCGCAGTGGAGCGGCGACAATTTCCGCTCCTCGCTCACAAGGCTGTTGGCTCCGCCCGCTCCTACGCTCTAATTCACACTAAGTCGCTCCGCTCAACACCGCTCGTCGCTCCACTAATATTATTTCCTCCCGCTCCAGTCATATCGCTCCACGCTCGCTCCAATTTAAAAGAGGGACAAATAATCTGCATGCCTAACAAATGTCACCTTAAACCGAAGCCTTATATCATAAAGAAATATGAGCAACGGCAACATTGTCACTCAGAACAGAAAATATTTATTTTTAAACAACATATAGGCAACAACGGACAGGTTTGGCAATGGAATTCCACACAAAAATAGCCTCAAAATAAAGGAATCTTGTGGACTTAATAGCCTAAAGAATATACAGGCTAAGCATCCACGTTTTAAATTCCTAAATTTTTTTCTGTTGATGCTGCTGCTATGTCTCTCTATAAAATAAAATTTCACTGACAGTGTTACGTGAATTAAAAAAAAAAAACCATTAGACCTACTTTGAATGACAAAACTAATTTATTTGATTATCAATATTTACTTTGTAGGCTTTTATACTTTTATTTACTTTATAGACTTGATATGCTACAACCATATAAAACTTGCTCACGTTTTGCTCTGGCTTCCGCCTGTTCGTGTAGCACACTCTCATGTTTCTGAAAAAAGTGATTCCAAAGTGAATCTTTACTCACTGAAACAGTTGCACCACATTGTTGTTCTTGCTCTACATTATTGTCATCTATACGTTTGATAAGAATAGTTCACTTGTACGAGTATGATCTATCAGTTTCCTTTGTGAAATACTTTGCGAATTCCATCTCGGCCAATTTGTGTATCAGTCTTGATAATTGTACAGATGAATTCTGGGTAGATTTGGGCACGCCTCAGAGTCGTAGTGTGAGCGGTATCGGAGCGAAATTGGAGTGAGGCAGCGCGACCGCTCCAGCCTTAATTAAAAAACCGCTCCGCACTCTGACCAAATTCCGCCCGCTCCGCTTCTCGCTCACGCTCCGCTCCACTCCGCTCACATGCTCTGGGATAGCACTACCTATGCGGTTACGGAAAATTAATTAATTAACACTCTTTTTACCAATCAGATATGAGAACTGAACGGTCACATTGTATACGTTTTATTAACACAAAACTGAAATAAAAAACGAATGCTTATGTTTTGTGGAAAGAATATGTTGGATAAGTGTATACATTAATTTTCGTCCCTGTGCCTTTGATCGGAAGACTTGATTTCTCTTTAAGAGCTCCTCGGATGTGGAACAGTCTTCTAGTGGATGTGCGTGATTCAGGCTCACTCTCAATATTCAAGTCTAGACTAAAGACACATTGGTTTAGTGTAGCTTATAGGGACACTAGTTCTAGCTCTAGCTAACTGCTCACCCCCAGTTAGACCTATAGTGTGAGGTGTAGAGCTGGGTGGGGATCAGTGCCATTGGCTTTGGATGAATTGAACTGTCAGTGCTGTCACTCTAGCTTCACACTCCCTTGTGGAAGTGGAGTGTTGACATTTCATGGACTCCCCATGCCTGCATTCCCACCTGCCTCTCCTTCCGACTTATGCTGCCATAGCCATATCTGCTGGAGCTTACATACTGCACTCACCTAACTTTTAGCACTTTTTCTTGCCACTGTCGCCTCTGTCTTACTCACTAGGGGCTTTGGGCAGGGATGCCGTAAAGCACTTTGAGACAATGTAATGTTGTGAAAACACGCTATACAAAAATAAATTTGTTTGTTGTAAAAAATATGCAATGAAACAAAGTAATCTCTTGAATAATCTCCATGTTTTTGAAAAGCAACTGTATTTCAACTACATCAATTTTTAGGGGAACTATAACAGAATACAATTACGCATATTTTGTAATGTAAATACTGTAGTGCTTGGCAGACTGAGGCATTGCAGCAGCAGAGAAGTGACGAGGGGAGATGGTTTTAATCTGTAATGCTCTTTAATGTAGCCCTTAAAAGGACAGTACACAGGCAAAAACAACACTCCAACCTACATGGCAGGGAAATGTGAGAGGTTACACAATAGATAGTAAGACACACACAATGGGTTATTACACAGCAGTTAGAGACACATCAGAATTACACATACAACACAGGTAAGGGTACATGCCACAACCGGGAGCACAAGTGTTTACACTAAAACACAGACAGGGGCTATTTACAGTTGCTCGTGAGTATGCCAGGATATGCAAATGGGCTCACCAGCACTACACTGCCACCTCTCAAAGGTTGACTGTACCAGTGACCACGACACACTGTCCCTACCTCAGCACTGGGACAAGTCCTACAGGGTCAGGGGCAGCCACCAGTGCATCTCCGATGAAGGGGAGATACTATCGGCTCCCAAGCTCATGAGCACTGGGTTGCTGGTCCATCCGGCCACCGACCCTTCCTCTTACGTGGCTTAGAAGGAACCTGCTGCCCCTCCTGTTCTCTAGACTGGATGGCCTCACGCAGCTGTTTGCAGCAGGCCATGTCCTCCTGCAGCTTATGGTGCTTCTCAGCCAGCTGGGCCTCCAGAGCATGGCATGCCTCCTGTGGGTGCACTGTCTTGCATCCGTGGAATGCCACCTCCACCTGCTACTCCAAGCAGCTGTGCTAGCACCTCCAGCAAGCCACCTGCTCGCACCCATCTCCATACTGCGTCACTCCATACTACATCACTCACGCAGCAACTCTTTGACTTCCTCCAGCTCACGGTGCTTCTGGGCCAACTGAGAAGGGTCTGGCTGGATTTCAGAATTATCTGACTGGACTATTTGCATTTTACTAAAATGCTGCTTTATTGCTCTGTCTAATAGTTATTTAAAAATGTTATTTTCGCAATTAAATAAAATAGAGGTGCTTCTGTTCTTCAGGGTATAGATATTCATTCATGCTCCTCTAAAACTGCTTATCCATATTAAAGAGAATTTGGAGCTTACCCTAGGGGCAGAAGGTGAGGGATACCTATGGGGAATTTCATTAAAGACATCCA